AAGCTCACGGCCCGCAAGATGTCCATCTTCTAAGCTGTTAGTAGCCCATAGCCCCATAGTTCATAGTCCAAAGATTGTATTGATCCATAAGTGCATGTAAATAATTCTGCTCACTTCACAGCCTTCAAATGCTACGAGTGTAGAGCTTCTTGCACTTCAAACATGGTTTTCCTCCAACTCAAAAGTTTCATGTCATTACTCTTGCTTAAAACTCGTTGGCTTTATCAAACACGGTACCGTTTGCTGGTTCCTTGCTCTACTGCACTTAGGAGCAGCTTGCGGCCAGCAGCGCCACGTGCGCCTTCACCACCTTGGCCGTCTGTTCCACGGCCAATCGGGACTCAGCAGCAGCGATCCAGTCCTGCGAAACCTGCGCGGGGAGGCCGGACAGACCCTTCATCTCCACGATCGCCTTTTCAATGTCGCCTGCCTTCAGAGCGAACTCAGCACGGGACAGCACGGCGTCCGTGTCCTTGCCTTCGATCGGGCCTCCAGGCGGGATCATCAGTAGCGACAGCGCCGTGCCGAACGCCTGGCCAATGATGCCGCTGTTCTCCGGCACCAGAGCGGCCCGGTGGCCAACAGACTTGACCACTTTGAAGCGCTCCTGAAGCTGACCCACAGACGGCGCGCCCTGCTCAACCACTTCCTGCGGTAGCGACTTGACGGCCGCCTCGATGAACGGGTCGTTCCTCGCCGCCTCGCGTAGAGCACGAATCTCGCTGCGCAGCGGAGCCGCAGCCTCCACACGGTCCGACAGAGCCAGCGCCGCCATGGAAGCCTTGTGAACGCGGTGGCTGAACGCCTCGTACGTCGACGAGCTGTCCAGAACCGTGCCAAGCGCGCGGAGCTCAGCGCGGTAGTTCTCCAGCTCCTTTACGCGCTTCTCACGCTCCTCCGCCAGTGTCTTCTGCATTTTCTGCGTCGCCTCCTCAAGTCGTTGAGCGTAACGCTGCTCGATCGCCTTACTCTCACGAGCGAAAGTGCGCTGCACCTCCGACAGCAAACTCGCACGCTGCTGGCTCACGTTGCGCGCCAGATCGTCGGCGTATTGCTTCTTCAGAGCATCCATCTCCTCGCGAGACTGACGAGACAGAAGCTCCTGCTGCAGACGCAGCTCACGGGCAAGCAGTTCCTTGTGCAGCTCATCCTGACGACGTAGCACCTCGGAGCTCTTCTTCTGGGCGTCCTCCTCCATGTGGCGGAGCGACTCCAGAAGACGCACAGCCTCCCACTTCGAGCGGTGCTTCATCTCCGTTGCCAGCTGAGCCACGCGGATAGCCAACGCGTTCGCATCAAGCTCCTGCAACAAGATCAATGTTAGCTATCAAACCAGTAGTAGTGCAGCAGATTTTGTAGGGCGTACGTTGAGGCCAGACAGGTACTGCTTGTCCATCTCGGCAGCGGCCGCGTCCGACTCGGCCTTCAGCGAGCTGAGCAGGCCGTTCTGCAATAAATAAACAACATAATTGTGAGTAATCTACGGTATACAACCGCACGGCCAAGCCACGCAACGCACCGTGGTGGCCTGGATCTGCTTGTCCATCTGACGGCTGAGGTGTTCGGGGCTGGCCTCGCCCGACAGCTTGGAAATCTCCTCACGCGCCTTGGCCGTGGCAGCGTCCACCTTCTTCTCGACAACAGTGGCAGCGCCGGCCATAGCCGTGACCACCTTCTTGACATCCTTCTTGACAACATTTTCAACCTTGTGAGCCTTGGACGCGACGCCGGCCACAGCTGACTCTCCCTTCTTGGCCTCCACCTCCTTCTTGAGCTCAGCGACCTTCTTCTCAGCCTTTTCCACCTTTTTCTCGGCCTTCTCCAGCTTCTTTTCCACCTTTTCGGCCTTTTTCTCGTCCTTGCCCTCCTCTTTGAGCTTGGCGACCTTCTTTTCAACCTTCTCTGCTTTCTTCTCGGCCTTTTCCATCTTCTTCTCGGCCTTCTCAAGCTTCTTTTCCACCGTTTCAGTCTTTTTATCGTCCTTGTCGGCCTTCTTCTTCTTCTCTTCGGCCTTTTTCTCAGCCTTTTTCTCGGCCTTTTTAGCCTTCTCCGCCTGCTTCACCTCCTGCTGGGCCTTGTTAATGGCAGCGCTAAATTCTTCGGGCGAGCGCTTTACAGGAACCACAGGCGGCTGTACCACTTTCTTGCCCAGTACCAGTTCACGGAACTTGATCCAGCGCGCGTCATCCTTGAGCGCGGCCGGGTTCCACTCCGGGTTCTGCTTCACGTACACGGCAGTAGCCGCAGGAGTGGACAGCAGTCCGAGCAGAAGCAGCTTGGGCAGCGACGATCCTGTGCTCGAATCCGCAGCAGCCGTAGCAGGGGTCGACTTAGCAGGCGTTACGGGCGCACCGTTGCTCGGCGGCTTCGCGGCTGGCGTCGGAGGAGCCGACTTGGGCACAATCGGGGCCTTGGGCGGCACGCTGAATGCACGTCGGGTCTGGCCGGCCACGGCGCGCACTGTACGAGTCCTCGAGGCCAGCATCTTTGTCGTTTTGGATGAGCGGCTACGAAAGGGGAAATCGCAAGGCGAACTATTGAGAAATTTGTAAAAGTATCCTTTTTAAGTACACAGTATTTCAAAAGATACCGGTAAGTTTGCGTTAAGTGTACTGTACACTTAACGTAGAAACTTATACAAAGGAGTTGTTTTTATACATGACTGATAGAAGTGCGCCAGTAAGTTGCGCTGATGGTGCTGCTGGGCAAGCGCTCTCTTCAGCGCCTGGTGGCGGAGCGCAACATCCGCTCGATCCTCTTCCACCTCACACCTGCGACAGCGGAGAGGGCGTTCCTGCGAGAACCGGGCGTGGAAAATGTAGGCATGCGAATTATGGGAGGGATCCCGTCCAGGTCGTTATTGACACATATCTGCGTTGGCATTTGCAGGCGGTTCAAGCGCTCAAGACGTTGGTGACGAAGGTTTACGCTACGTGGAAAGATTCACTAGGACTAACCAACATACCGACTTGATGCAGGCATGGCTACCGTCTAGGATTCATCGGTGACGCCAGGACGAGCTACGCCAGCGCGCTTAGTGCATTCCACATCGTTCACGACGGCAAGATGAAGGTGCGCTATAATACGGTTATATACACCAGTCCGCCCGTCTAACTAGTTGCGGTAAAAGAACGGTGTATCAGTGTACGAGATAGCTTCGAAGGAGCTGAAGGTGCCACTTAATAGGACACTGCTTGTGACAGAAGCGACGCTGTCGGAAGGCTCGGCCAGCGGCGCAATTTCAGTTGCATTGCCAGAGCAGTCGGAGGGCGATAAACCACAGCCACTTCTCGCACAGTTTGCAACAGGTAGGTGGACGCTGACACTACGACAGTGTTTACACTCCACTTTTTAATATTTCTTTTGTGCCCTGAAAGAATTGCTGAACTTCGACCAGTGCCTTGACCCCGCTGGCCGGTGCTTCGGTCCTTTCCGCGTGTTGTTCTCTCAAGTATTTTACGAATCCGCGCTCTCGTTTGCTCTGGTGAATCTCAAACCGATTGTGCCAGGTTTGTGATTAACGATTGACGCGTTTTCGCTCATATCCATCGTAAACCAATAGTGCTAAACTGCTTCATGGTGTAAAATGCTGTAGGTCATATGCTTGTTGTGCCGAAGCGGCCGGTTGCTCGCTTCGAGATGCTTGATGTAGACGAAGTGAGCGATCTGTGGACCGCTGCTCAAGTAAGTTTAGTTTTATAGTGTTGGCAACGCGCAACAGCATCAGCTAACGGCGCACAATTCCCATTTTCTCGCAGCTTGTGGGCAAGCAAGTGGAGCGGTATTACGGCGCATCTTCCCTGACATTCGCGATCCAGGTGCAACTCTTTCACGTTTAAACGCAAATGTTTATCTTCGCACTGACATCTCGAATGCATTTGTTCTCTCAGGACGGTAAGGAGGCAGGCCAAACGGTCAAGCACGTACATATCCACGTGATCCCACGCACCGCTCACGACTTTGAGCGCAACGATGACATCTACACGGAGGTATCGCTTCAACATTTCACAACTTGAGAATTATCACATCAGTAGCTTACCTGCTTCATTACCCGCAGATCGAAAAGCACGAGCATGCTCTGCAAGTCGACAACGAGACGCGAACAGCTCGCTCCGAATCGGACATGGCCATCGAAGCTGCACAGCTTCGCCCACACTTCTCGTAAATGCGGCTCATCTCGTTAAGTTGCTGCAGCATTTCACTCGAAGTTGAAGCTGTTTCGACCAATCACCGCGCTTCAAAAATATCCTCAATACTAGCCTCATCTTTGTCCATCATCACAAGGGAAACCCGCATCATTCCCTGATTCGCGCACACAGACGGGATGACCATCACTCCCGACGAGGCTTGGAGCCTCGCCTGCAGGCGCTGCGACGCCCTCGTGGCGCGCCATTCGCAGCTCTCCTTCATCCTGGAGAACGCGACGGGTGTACACCTTACGCTGGACAAAACCCTGCTGCACAATGAGCAGCTCGGCGAGAGCTGGCGCGTCTCCAGCCACTCGGGAGTCCTCCCAGCGCTTCAATTTACCAAGATCCGCACTAAAAACGCGTTCAAGCGACAGCGTCTGCCCTTCGAGTTGTGCTGCGTCCACTGTGACGCTAAAGTGGCATCTGAGGGGTTCCTGGATGAACTGCCGGACGAGTCAATGCTGTTGCTGGACTCCAAAGCCTGTTCTTGTGTGCTGGACAAAAAATTCCCGTACGGGATGGCTGGGGGTCCCACAGCGCGGAAATGGGGGCTTCTTCTGAAACAACTACAGGAGATGCAGCTTCCTCTTAAGATTTTTAAAGTTCAAGAGTTGGTCGGCGAGGAGAGAGTCCAGAACGTGCAGGAGACAGAGGTGCTGTCCGTGGTGCATCCCACGGTAGCCACGATTCGAAGCCACTTCAACCCCAAGGCGAAGATGTCCAAGTTGAGACGGTATCAAGTGGAGCTGACGATCTCGGCGTTGCTGGAGAACACGATCGTGTATCTACCTACTGGTTGCGGTAAGACGTTGGTGGCAATCAAGGTGCTGGATGAGATGAAGTATCTGAATCCGAACAAGTTGGTGGTGTTCTTTGTGCCCACGGGGCCGTTGGTGTCGCAACAAGCTGCGTATATCCGACGCGAGTCGGGTTTCCGGGTGAAGGGGCTGTCTGGGCAGCATGGACGCACTGCGGCGGCAACAAGTGACCCGATTGAAACCGATGGAGATGTTGATGCTCTGGTGGTGACGCCTCAGTACTTTTTGAATTTGCTGTTCAACAACCGCACAAAGATCACGGATTATTGTGTGATGGTGTTCGACGAAGCACACCACGCTACTGGAAACCATCCGTACTGTGAGTTATTGCAAAAGGTGGCAACAGTTGATCTGCGAACTCGACCACACATCCTTGCACTGACGGCCTCGCCATTCGGGGAAGGAGTGCGCGAGACATCAGGCCAGACAGCGCTGAACAAACTTGCCCAAGTATTCAACGCTGTGGTCAATGCCCCAACAATCGCCGCAGAAGACCTGGAGGCAAGTTTTATCCCGAAGGAAGCGCAATGGGTCACTGTACAGGAAACCGAGCACGAACGCAAGCTTCGGGAAGGAATTAAGCGCTACATCGAGTCGTTTTATACGCAGGTTAGAAGATTGATGAACGGACAAGTGATGCCATTCGAGACGAACTATGACACGGATGACATGGAGCTGTCCCAGTTCCTAGCAAAACTGCGGATCTTACGGGGACAAGCAGAGAAGATGGCGACGGGAAATAATGCTGACGTGAAGATGACTGGAGTCGAGAAAAGTAAACGACCATTGTCCGATCTTGAGTTGATTTTCAAGCATTTGCTGAAAGTGGCATCATCCTTTTACAACTTAAGTATTCACGGTGCTGCAACTGTTGCTGAAGCACTGCGTCGCATTTTCAGCGAACTGGAAGTTGCAGAAACCAAGAAGGGGAAACGTACTTTTGTGCTGGTGGAGCCAGCATATCGTGCTATCATGAGTCCAGCACTGGTTAACTTTCCTCTCGAAACGTTTACTGGGACGGACATCTCCAATCGTGTCCATCTTGTTGCCGAGTGCATTCGAAGGGCTCACTTCGACCACAATTCACGTGCAATTGTGTTTGTCCGCCGTCGTAAAACTGCGATTCTGCTGGCTAAGGCGATGGAAGCGTTGGATGTGCTGCGCGAGCTCAACCCCACGCGTTTTGTTGGACACAATTCGTATGAAGGTATGTCGTGGGAAGAGGAGCAGCGACCGACGTTGGATCGGTTTCGACAAGGGCGCATTCGTCTCTTGGTTGCTACTAACGTGCTCGAGGAAGGCCTTGACGTGCCGGAATGCTCCTTGGTTATTCAATTCGATGGGGTGATTGGAGTCACGAGTCTCATTCAAAGTCGAGGTCGAGCGCGTCACCGAGACAGCTCGTTTATCATCTTCTGCTCAGCAGTGGGGAACGAGCGCAACCAACGACTTGTGGAGAATGAGAAACGACTGGTGTTGATGGCTAACAAGGCTGCTGCTAGACTGACGTCCAAAGCTACTGTGGAGGAGTTAATGGACAGTTATTCAGAAGACGTGGTTGTTGATTCTTCAGTTGGTGCGAGTGGAGAAACATCGGCGTTGGCTGCTCGGGCAATATTTGACGCAATGGCTGAGAACGCGTACAACATCGTTCTAGGTGGCGTATTTATCGGTGCTGACAAACAGCTGCAACAGGATATCCTGGAACGGATTAGTGAGTTTGCTTCAGTCAGAAGAGCAGATGAGGCCATTGGACTATGCACTGTTGCCGCATCTCCTGATCAAAACATCTATTCGTCCTACAACTCGCTGTGCTCCAGCGTCGACTTCTTCATTCACGAACAAGCGCTCTGGATGCGCTTTGAAGCTGATGACATCGAGAGAGCAGCGAGCAGGACGGTCGCCGAAAACATCCCTAAAGTCGGACTGCATCGTGGATTGATGACTCCAGAAGGTGCTTTTATGGAACTCGAGAGCTTTGGCGACGTCAATAGGTCACCGGGTGACATTGAGATGGCAGCAGATGCGCTAATCGCAGATTTTGGCTATCGCCGTGTGGAGTTCGATTTGCGAGCGCTGAACGAGCCGTTAGTGTGGTTTGATTTGACTCCTTCGGCTGGAAGCGCTGCGTCTGTGTACCTTTCATTTCGACTACCTCCTTCGTGTTACATCGAAGAAGAGCGTGAATGCAAGGGGTGCCAGTCACAAGCGCTTGTTTATCGCTTAATATTGCCTCGCTCGGATCAGTTATCTACTCACGTATGGAATCTTCGCGTGTTTTTCTCGAAGCTTGGGATCGAAGTCCGCGAAACGAAGATACGGAAGGCAGACGGAAGAAGTACGCCTCCCACAAAATTACATTTTGCGTTTCCAGTAGCGTATGCTCTGCAATGTCTCCTATCCGACTGCAGTTACTTCACGAACGGATTCCTGCCACCTGCTTTTTATGACGTTTTGACTGAACTTGACGAGAACGTCCAAGAAAAAGCACTTTTATCTTTTCGCGCGCATCCGAGTGATAGCAGTATTACGGATCAGTTTTCGAGCTACCTGCAAGATGAGCGTTCCATGCTGGAGGGATTATGCACCAGCCCGTCCTTGAATCCAGGCTCAATTGTATACGAGGTCATTGTGACACCTTCAAGGATCGTGTATTGTCCGCCCGATCCAGCGCCGAGCAATCGTGTGTTTCGTCACTGGGGGTCGGAGAACTTCATGTACGTGTACTTCCGTGATGACAATATGGAGCGTTTGGACTTCAGGTCCGGGACGATTTTGCAGCGCATTCGCAACGTATTGAAGAACGGGATTGACATTCCCCACGTAAGAGGTGGTCTTAAGTTCCGTTTCCTTGGTTGCTCACTGAGCCAAGTGCGTAACAGCAGCGCAATCTTCACACGGCTTGATCATCACGAAGTTCGCTCGTGGATTGGAGACCTTTCCCAATTAACCTCTCCGGCAAAGTATTTAAAGCGTTTGGGCCAAGCATTCTCTTCTACAAAGGAGACGTTCGAAGTCAACCAAAGTGTTCTTGACAACCCGGTGGAGGATATTGAAAACGATCAATACGTCTTTACGGACGGATGTGGCGAGATCGCTTTAGTTGGAGCGGAGAATATTGTGAGGGAACTTCAGCTCCCTTTTACCCCATCAGCTTTCCAGATCCGGCTTGGAGGTGCAAAAGGTGTTTTGGTGGTATCTGACCTGGGAAGGTCAAACATCCGTTGTGACGATGCCGTTGTGCTCCGCAAAAGCATGTCCAAGTTCACGTCCAACCACAGGGTGCTTGAAATAGTCGCATTTGCAGGCAAATCGGAGGCGTACTTGACTCGCCAGAGTGTTCTGATCTTGAATGATCTCGGGATAAACGAAGATGTTTTCATGGAGATGCAGGAGGAGTTTTTGAGTGATCTTCGCTCACTAATTGCATCAGATGACGGAGCATACTTCGAGCTGAAGGCTGTGCTGCCTCCGAGTGTTATTTGGTGGATTGACGTGCTTGTCCGTAAGCTTGAGGTCAAAATTCTGGCTGACGAATATCTGTCGTCGTTGGCAAGAACTATTTATCATTATCGACTTGCGAACACGGTGATGCGTGCCAGAATTCCCATAGCAAAAGGGCGTACTTTAATGGGCGTGGCAGATTTCACTGGGACTTTGGAATACGGAGAAGTGTTCGTGCAGTATTCCGAAACTGATGAGGAGATTGGAACTGATAGCTACGTGGTGCTTGATGACGTTGACGTTGCTGTTCATCGAAGCCCCTGCCACCACCCCGGCGATATTCGAGTTCTTCGTTGCAGAGCAGACGTACCGCCACAGTTACGCCAGCTAAAGGACTGCATCGTGTTCCCCTCTAAAGGCCCACGGCCGCATCCTGACGAATGCACAGGCGGAGATTTAGATGGTGACATGTTCGTTGTTATTTGGGACAAGCGATTGATTCCGTCCAGGACGCAAGTCCACGAACCGATGGCTTTTGACGAAGACACTGGAGGGGACACCAGTCCCCGAGGAGAGGAATACCACCAGTCAACGGATGACGCAGGTTTGGTTGATTTTTACGTTCACTCCATCCAGGACGATATTCTTGGTATTGCTTCGAACGCTCACCTTGCGCTTTGCGATTCATCGAATGATGGAAGCTTCGATGAAAACGCGAAAATTTTGGCACGTATCTGTTCCAAACAAGTTGACAGTCTTCGTGCTGAAAAAGATCTTGAGATTGTACGCAACTTAGCGCCCAAGAGTTATCCGGACTTCATGCAGAATAAGGATAAGCCGTCTTACACGTCGAAGAAAATCTTGGGCAAGATGTACCGCCGCTGTAAGGCCATTTTTGACACGACAATGACAAAGGGTGTGAGTCAAATGCCTATTCGTGACGATAACTTCCTGGCGTCTGGATATACTGACTACGTTAAGCAGGCCAAACTGCTTTATCGCCAGTACAAGTTGCGACTTCGAGCTTTGTTGCTCATGTCAGGAGCTCAGACTGAGGCCGAACTCGCGACAGGCATGATTGTGGAACCACAGAGCGAATACAAGGCCGACTATTTCCGATTTGGAGAGCAATGCAAGGACGCATTCTACGCTCTTCAAGCTGCATTCCGGTCCCAGTTCGACAGCGACACATCCACTCTTGCACCTGGCGAGAAGCTCAAGTTAGCTGCTGCTTGTTACTTTGTTACCCACGAAGACTCCGATGCAAGTACACGCTGTTTAAGCTTCCCGTGGATCGTGATCGATTTGCTGACAACGATCAAGACCAGCAACGCTGGCAAAACGCATTACAAGCTGTGGACGCCAGTACGCTTATCGGGGTATGCACAAACGATTCCAAAGCTGCAATTATGTATGTTAGCTGAGATGCTAACCAATACGGAAGAGTTGCTCGCGGACTTGTTCGATCGACTGGTGGCAGTGACTTCGTTACGCTCCGAGATGCCTGGTAACCTGCAAAAGAAAGAGTTTGATCTCCTTCTATTCGGGTCGTCTGGACTACTAACGTTTGAAAAGCAGTCGGACTTGGATGTGATGGTTTGATTGATGAACGGACAAGTGATGCCATTCGAGACGAACTATGACACGGATGACATGGAGCTGTCCCAGTTCCTAGCAAAACTGCGGATCTTACGG